TGCCGGAGCAACAGGTGATGTTGCACTAGTACTAGCCAATGATGTAGCATCATTTGAAGCACCAGTATCACTGGTTGATTTATCAAGTGTAGACAAATGCGGCACTACTGTGGTCGGTACACCAAGTAATGATTGAGATGTCTCGTCATGCGTGGCAATCGGTGAAGCTGAATTTGAATTGCTAGCAACTATAGGTGGAACATGTGCGGCTGCAGCAGCTGCTGCAGATGCCGCTGCCACTGCAGTATTATTACCACCACGTCGTCGACGTCCATCAACAACTTCACCATCAGGACCAGTTGTGCGTCGGCGTGCTAAATATAAATTATATTCAATTATAACATTAATTTTCATATATATGAAAGCGAGATTTACCTTTACGTCCACGTTTTGGGGTACCATCCAAAGTAGTATTTACTCTTCGCGAACGTGATCCACGTTTACGTTTGCCACGACTACTGTATGATTCATCGAAATCGTTATCTGATTCAAAATCTTCTTCGAAGTCATCTACATGATGATAATGTGATATATCCATATCTTCGTGGAACCACTCTTTTTCAGCATTTGGATGTGAGTCTTTACTATCATTGTCACCCGAAGCGCTCATTGAATTTCCATCTGCAGCTGCGATAGCTATAAGAACATAATATGAACAAAATCTTATAGGAATCTAAATAGAAATTTGAATTAAAAACTGAATTTTGTGGATCTTGCTGTAAGAATAAGTTAACATTGGCTCTGATAATTATGGTATACAGATTATGCAGCATAATTAGTGCACTATATATATGCTTAATGTATATATATTATTGTATATATATATTTTGCAAGACAATTGATTTAACCATTCTTTGGAGTAAATAAAAATGAACTAACATTTTAATCAAGTTTTTGCCAAAGTACATTTAGTAAAAAACGATGGACCAAGGAAATTGTTATACTTAATTGTATACTTAAGGATAGAGTTCTAAGAGAGTAATTAGAATTATTTTTGGAATGAAATATTAGTGTAATGGTTGCAGCTTTCGAAGTGTAATAGGTACAGAATATTCAGGTAAAATAATCTGTAAATATTAGCGTTCAAATCAAAAAAATTACTTATCCAAGGTTTTCAATAAATTATTTGCCAAACAAATGTAATAAACAATAATAGACATAGGAAATTATTTAGTCATCCATTATACACTTAAAAGTAGAAAGCTAAGAGAATAATTGGAAGTTAATCCAATTTTATCCAATTATAATTACAAACTACCATCGAAATATGAAGTACTAACTACAAATTTCGTTGGCATCTATTGGACTATATGAAAAGGTAGTTGGAATGATAACTTAAATTTAATTCGAAGAGTATTACACTGTATGTAATGGAGACATGGGTTTACGACCATCAAATATCGATTGCAACTTTTATCGGTGTTTCGCACATATGCTATTAAGAGACGTCTTATAACAGTAGCTTAAATAAGAATAGGAAAAAGTTTCATGAGCGAACGGGTCTACAAACTTGAGCTACTTAAAATCGACAAGTATGTGTCACATATCAGTCTCAGTAAAACTATCACAGTAACAAGGACACCAAATTGATCATATTTTTCTGTAAATTAGCTTATAAATCACATAGATTAGTGCAATATATTATTTAAAAATTGTTTTATATGACTACACAAATTAAGTGCGATTTGTTTCGATATATTTATTTATGACAAGTATGTTGTCTACTAAACTACTACAAAAACGTTGGATTATTCGCAAAATGTTCAATTGAGCAACAAAATTTGTCAGATAGAGAGTCAATCTAGATTAAATTCAGTTTTACCAATCGAAAACGCCATTAATGCCCAAATTACTTGAGGATATTTGATCTACTCTTTTGTTATGTATTAGAGAAATGACGTATTAGAAAAATTTTGTAGCTCCTTATTTCTCTTTGAACCCATACGTATATGGAGAATGTCAAATAGTTTTGCTATCACCGCTAGAGAAATATCTAAAAAAAATACGTAACTAGAAAAAGTAGTAGTTGAATTTTTTAAAGGGCCGATACATATTTGTCTATAAGTAGAATGTTTCCTTTTTACTACTAAATATGTGCTTAAAAGGAAAGCATCCGAGGTTTAGTCATTCTAGACGTTATGTTCTGAATTAGTTGAGATATATTTAACCATATGGCACATTTTGAAATAATAAGCCTGCATTTTACTTAAACTGTGTAGTATATATGACTATTATATATTCACATGAATACATTCGAAGAGGTATCAAATTTAGATCCAAACTATATGCATTATTTTGTATGTAAAAAATGCGAAGTAATCATTAATCAAGAATGCAATATGAATTAGGAAAATATTGTATAATATGTATGACGGCTAAATGTAGCTGACTCAGCAAATTCTCTATATATAAAAATCAATTTGAATTTAATTTTTGTAGAAATTAAAAAAAAAAACAATATATTTTATTTTCACACAACTTACCTGCACTTTCCGATTGGTGATGGTCCCTTGCAGCCGAGGAGTTAGTATGATGATGATAGTGGTGTGGTTCACGATATTGATACGCTCGATAACTATGATGATGATTGAGTAAATATTGTCTCTTCGGTTTACGCCAACGTGCTGAGGGATAAGTGTAGATTTGGCCATCGCGAAAACCGGGCATACGTTGTCTCTTCTTCATGAAGAGCTCACAATGTGTTTGTGCTACACCCGTTTGGGTATCCAAGAAAGGCATACGTAAACGTCGTTCAATACAGAGGCGAGTATTGAAATTTTCACTATTCTCAAGTATTTCTTTGTAAGCGGAATCATTTAGAAAATTTTGTATTTTCTCCAAATTTCCTATATTCACAATTTCAATTTCAGATGCCATCTTCACTGAATGCGCAAATTTTTTTTGTATACACGTAATTAAAAACCTTTAAAAACGATGTAAAATAATTCAAGAAACTTCTTTCTCACACTACCGATTACGCTGTTAATAAGTAAAAATTATTTGTGGCACGTTTTTCTTTATTATGTATACATTTTTATTAAAAAACTTTCAGGTATTTCCTTTGTTCCTGCCTGCTAACTTGTTTTTTGTATAAATAGTATAGTAAATAAGTTTGGCGTTTACTTTGACATGTACTTATGCGCTGGAAAGGGATGGCACATATACGCGAAATAACAATAAACAGTGTATACTCGAAAAGACAGAGTGTACATTGTGTAAAACTTTATAGCGCATTCAAATTTTAATATTGTTATTGCTTATAATTTATTTGTTTATTATAATAAATATAATAGAAATCTTATTAATATATTAATTGTAATTTTTTTTATACCTTTTTTTATTTAATTCACAGACGTTTAATTGATACTATTTTACAACACAATTAAATTAAATTGACACAACGTTTACACTAACGCAATTAACATAACAAATGTGCAGAAATAAGAATCCTTTTTCACTTATAATTAATACAAAACATATAAAACTAATGAGGAATTTTTGTACTAAAACTGATCAATAATGCTTTATATACAATGCTGTATTCAAGAAAAGTTATTAAATAATACAAATTTTGATGAAAGTCTAACTTTGGTTCTTATTTTTACATGAGAAAAAAAGCTTTGGTGATTGGTTTTACTCAAAGACGACTTCCACCACAAAAGCTCGTAATATAAACATTCTGTAACTAATTGTCATTGTACAAGCTTTTCAATATTAAGTACACAAACCACTCTTGGTCATTTTAGCATTAGTTACCACTGCAAATTAGTAAATATTTTTCAGATTTTGACTCCACTTGTCACAATACAGGTATTAAAAAATTAAATTAAATTAAAGATGTACCTTTGGACATCTATGTGATTCAGTTCTTTTTGCTATATGCACTGCTATTAGCAACCGAATAATCATGGTAATTTTGAACTCTTTTTGGTCATGCCCAAAAGACAGATTATAAATAGAGTCAAATGTGAATTTGGTACTTAAACAACTATTTTGATACGTTTTTTTTTTGTGCCTCAATTTGAAACATATTTATTTTTGAGTGAATATGCCTATATAAACATTTCCCTCGTTATCTTATTCCAAATTTTTTAATTCACATTGAGAACAACAACTTGAAATTAGGCGTAACTATAAATGCCTGTAGCTCTACTCCACGAGATAGTCGTAGTAAAACTTAAGTAAAACACAAATAAAGTACACAATAAGAGATTTTCATGGAACAGCTTTGTGTAAAGTCTGGTGAGAACACCAATGCCGGGCAAATAAACAATACAAAAATTTAAATTCAAATAGCTGATTCACACATCACACAAATTTTACCTGAAATTAAATGTACGAGTAAAGTCTCTCTCAGATGCTCTCATTGACCCGAAAACTTCCTGGTGGAACGCACTTGTGTATACACAGTGTTACTCAAAGTTCCTACAAGCACCTCATGAAACAGACCTTATATAATATGACCTCTATATAGGTGATCATCGATTGTCACATTTTTAATTGTATAACAACAATAGATGTTATAATCGACGATTATTTTATGGGCTGATTAAGACGGTCGTTACATTTATTTCTCGCTTTAAAAAAATACAGTTGTTTTTTTCTTATATATTATTATACACTTATAGTTATTATTAATATTTAGTAAATAATTAATTTTATATATTATTTTGCAGTAAAAAAGAAGTTATATAACCATTAACAATACCATCGATTATTGATGGATTGCAAAACATTGTAACGAAATGATTTTAATTTCGCAAATTAAGACATTTATTTTAGTAAAAATATTTATTTAAATTTATAATCATTTAACAATTATTATTAAATAACATTAATTATTTAATAATATCCAGTGCAGTGGGAACAACTATAATTTCTCATTTAAAAAAGTTTTGTTCCATACACCCTTTTGAAGTGCTGCCAAATTCCATCCACAATGATGATCCTAATTCATTAATAAAGCAGTGTTTGTGGAATGCATTGTTGTTGTAAAATACTTGTACGATAGTTGGGCGTGGAGTGCAATTTATTATTTACAAATAAAATTAAAAACAAAATAATATATTAATTAAAAATTAAAATATAGCGATAATTGAAAATGGGTGCCAGCAACCGAAATACGCGCATAGCTGTTGGATTATCAGCATTTTCGTTTTTATTATTTTTCATAGCTTTCGTTTCGCCCTATTGGTTAGTCACAGATGGAACATTAAGAGCACCACGATTTACAAACCTCGGCCTATGGGAGGTGTGTTTCAACAATTTCACAGATATACATCGATTCTACGATACAGTCTTCACAGGCTGCATGTGGGTTTTTGAAGAAGAATATTATATTATACACGACTTCTTACTGCCTGGATTTTATATTGCTGTGCAATTCTTCGCCACGCTCTGTTTTGTAATGTGCCTAATAACACTTCCCTTGACACTCGCCTTCTTACGCACATCCAGAGACGATGATCGATACGTTGTATTATTATTAACAAAGGGCTCATGTCAAATATTGGGTTCATTATTTGGCTTCATAGCTGTTGTAATATTTGGTGCTAAAGGTGATTCTCGTGATTGGATGCCAGGTTGGCAAACAAATGATATGGGTTGGGCATTTGCATTCGCCGTTGTTGGTGCTGTAATGCTACTACCAGCTGGTATACTATATATCGTCGAGGCACGACGTGAACGTTATAAGCGCCTGAATGAAATTAGTAATCGTGATGTTAGTGAATATGGTGGTCAAGAGGAAGTGTATCAGCAACAAGCGCAACAATATTTTGCACCAGAATCAAGTAGACCCAGACGTCCACAACCTGGTCAGCGTGCTGCTCCTGCTACGATTGAACCATCGGCACCAGGGCCGAGTGGTGGTATACAAACAGATATTTAAATGTGTAGTAATATTAGCAACAAAATAGGTTACATAGTAGTTTAATCAGTTTATTTTTTTTTTTTGAATCTTAGTGGCGACTAAATATTAAAGAATTTTTTTATGAACTACTGTGTCAATCTTAAGTTCAGTATATCCAATACACAAACTGTGTATTTCACTTATTTTAACAATTCCGTCCTAATTTTAATCTTAATTTTTATGTATGTTAATAATTTAAATGACTAAGACGAATTAACACAACTCGAATTGTCTATGCGTATTACTTTAGTATTCTAAATTTTTATAATATGGGTCAATACTACTAGAAGGAAAACAAACTAATCAGATATATTACATAGTCAATATTTCCAACTATTAAGTAGTTGTTGTTGTTACTGAAGAAGTGAGCAACACTTGACAGTTTGTAGAAAGTGGAAGCTTTGGTATGCAGACCCTGTAGCTCTATTAGATAATTATTATTTCAAGTTCTTGATAGTCAATATTTGTAATACCAATTTTGCAAAACTCATACATTTTACCAAAATATATTTTGCCAAGTTTTAGACCACATTTTTTTTATTAGTTCGTGCGAAAGATTCCCTTTACAGGTATGTTTTTTTAAAAATATATTAATATTCTTTATTTATTAACAAATATAAATTCTTTTAGTTGGAAATTCTGCAAGTCAATTATAACGAAATTGGTATAAATTGGTACTTTTTATGCTAATGCTGATGGAATAAGCAAAAACTAAAACTAAATAGTTCCAAACTAAATAGTTAAAATAAGCTATACTTATATAGTTACTATACTGATTTAACCCTGTTCCCGTCATTGATTATGTTTTCGTATATAACATAATATTTAATATGTTTATGTTATGAACAACATCAATTCAGCGTAATTCAATCAAATCCATCTATATAAAAAATGCGTTATGGCTGCTGGACCCTATGATGATATGCAATAAAAAGAATAATGATGAATACATATTACTGAATATGTTTATAACACAATAAAAGTAATAGCAAATATAATGCATACGCATGCATTTGGATTGGATTGAATGTTCCAAAAATGATCGGGTCTACGTTCCGGAGCTACTTGTCAATTTTGACAACCATTTAACACGTATAAAAGAGAATACACAAGCAGTAACAACAAAAATAATATATATAATTGAATAGATATTACTACTGAAATTTGTTGACAGGTTTTAGTGAAGATCATTATTTTGAAAAAAAAGTTCCTATACACTATATGTTGATAGAACTTGATTTTTGAGGTATTGGACTTAAAAGTTGTAAACTTTCAATGATGGGATATTTTTCCTAATTGATGTAAACAACATTTAATAGAACAATTAATAATCAGTGTGACATTTTTAATGTATGACTAGATTAATTTAGTAAATATTTTTATTTTATTTTTTTTGATACAATAGCACTATTATTCTTATATCAAAATTACTTAATTTATACATATGTAAGTAAATATTTATATACTTTTTTGTATGAAGGGTGTTTAAGCATCTACAAAGTTAAAATAAAATTGCTTCTTATAGTATGTTTCCACTGGCTTCGTCATCTTAGTTGAGATTGCTTGAATTACTTGAATTTCAAGTAAGTTAACTGGTCTAATGAAGCCAATGGAAATATACTATTAGTTATGTGTTTTTAATTCGCTTATTAGAAATATGTGTTATTTGTGAGTGTTCGATTAAAATGTTGTCCTTTGATGTAGTATTGCCCAAAGAAAAAAAACCGTTAAGATTTTAAATAATATTAACAGAGTTTCAAACCATTAAGAATCTTAATAAAAAAAATATTCCGCAATAGCTGTTTGATTATAAAAAAGAATCTCGAACCGATTGCATAAAGTGTCTTATAGTGTTATTTAGTTTAAATAAAATAAAATTGTATTAAATTTTAAAGTATTTTTGTTTTGTTTTTATATTATTGTAGTCGCCTTTTGTTTTGTTTTGTGTAATTATGTTTATATATTGAAAATCTTCTAAATTTATACAAAATATAAAATGCATGTTTTTATATATTTTTTTTGGTCGAATATTGTGCCGAACATTTATAAAGAAATGTTAGATTATAAAAATTAAGTTCGAATAATATATTGAACGATTATATTAAATTTTAAGTAATAAACCGAAATATTCCATCCATACATGTCAATTTATGTATTAAATATTATACTAATGATAATTTTATAATGCGAAATAAATGTAATTTTTTATGGAACATTAGTTGTTTGTTATAATTTTAAAAAACTTTTTTAAGATCAATTCTAAACAATTAAACCATCATAACCATAATTATCTGCACTGATATAATTTGACATAAACCACACATGGACCTATAGGTCTCTAAAACCTATTTAATATCGATTGATCTAAGTAGAGTTGTAGTAGGCATTATATTGAATATCAACGCTTTTTGACGCTTTCCAATTTTCATAATTATGGAGCGGACTATTATTTTAAAGATATTCATAAGAAATTATGTAGATAATAATTGTTCCAGTTTTTCTTTTTGAAATCTATCATTATCATAAACAAAATGAAGGCATGATGTAATTACAAGAAACTATGCTAAAACCGTAGAAGATATATAAGTATCCCATGCTTTCAGACATGTTGTTGGTACATTTGATTTATCATTGGTCGAAATTTAACATTTAATTAAAGTACCATTTTTTGGGCTGCTATTATTATTTTTATCTCATCTTGTTAGGATATACAGATATAAATATATATAACAGATAAAACTTCTTATATCCATCACCTAAATAAAATGGATTTATCATAAAGTTAAAGAAAATATACTTTTCAGAAAAGTATATCATATCTTCTCTAAACATTGTTTCCTTTTTACAATTTTTGTTTCCTTTATAATAAATAAAATTTATCTAATTTCTTAATGTTTAATTTATTATTTTAAATTTTCGGAAAAAGTTTATTGACAATTATAACCAATAAAAAAATTATATTTGCAATTGTTATTAAATTGAAGTATACTTTTAGGCTTAATAATAAGTTATTGTGAATCCATCTATTAAAAGAGATTTATTTTCAAATCACTACTCCTTTTTTAGAAAGCAAATATAGTCGTTTTATCTGTATTACGGTTTGAGATTCCAATTCCAATTAATATAGGTTTTTATTAGCACTAAAATCGTTTTCAGTTAGAAATTTTAGTGTGTATAATATATTTATATATTTATAAAATAAAAATATTTAATTTAATACTTTTTTTGTGTGGTTAACATCAACATCAACTAGTTACATAAATATAATACTTCTAACATTTAATAATTTTAAAGTGGAATAATAATTGCAAGATGCTCCTTATTATATTATTATAAGGGGTTAATTTCTATATCGATGAAATGTAAAATCAGAGACTGGTTATTTAAAAAATTATTTGCCAATTAATATATATTCATACCAAAACCTCTATACAGCAATATATTCTTTCTCAAAAATTGAAGACTTGAAGGCCTTGACATAATCAAATTCACCATACTATGCATACATAGCATCCTGACATACTAATCTAATACACAACCACATCCTTAAAAAGACTCAACCACCTACATGGCAAGTATGCAACACTAATTTAACCGTTACTCACATTCTGATACAACACCACAAATACCTATCGCATGTAAATAGACTTAATGAATCAAATTCCTCCAAAAATCTTGCCTCACCAACTCACTCTAATATCCAGAAAACCATAGACTTCATTAAAACATCTCGCCTCTACTCTGTGTCGCTATAGCTTTAATTTCTTATATAAGTTAACTATAGCATATAAATGAATGAAAAAAAATATATATTCATATATTTTGCATAGAGATAAGAAAAAAGCGTTAAAGCCCTTACAATCTATGCCTATGTTCATAGTTACATTACAAACATTTATTGACGGTAGAGCAATTAAAGAAATTACTACAGCTTCATCACTGGGCGTGGCCAAAAGGGGTTATGTGGCGATGACCGAAATAAATGTTTAACAAAAATATTATTATAATACAAAAAAACTTACACCCACTTAGTCTTAGATATGTTTTATGCGACCCGCTGTTTAGTGGCGCAGTGATGGCGCTACTACACTAAATCAGCTAAAGTAAGATTTAGCTGATTTTGACAGAAATCGGTGTTAAAATGTTTTTTTTTTTTTGCAAAACTTATTAAATAAGGATGATAGGTCTCATATGCTGATAAGAAAATTCATGATATAGTCATCCTTCACACATCTCACGTAAAGTACGAATCGCAGTTTTTTCAAACACTCAATGCTTCTTTGAAAGAGTTGCAGCAAATCGGTGCAGATAGATTTAAAACAATTCCAATCTTAATAGACTTACATATCCTCCTTTCGTTATCGTTGGTGATTGTATATTTTTTGTCAATTTTTTGTCAAGAAGCAGCACCAAACATGACTTTAGCGCAGAGATTTAAAGAAAATTCAGTTTTGCTAATATACACGCTTCTTAGGGTAAATAATTGAGACATCTAGCTCTCTCTATATTTCCATCTACAAGTCTCTTAACATGCCTGTCTTGTTGTATGGTGCAAAAGTTTGGGCAATAACCAACCGTGCTGATAAGGGCCCTTTGAAATGAAAATTGTTTGAAAAATCTTTGGTCTCAGACATGTTGGGAACGTGTTGGAGTTATATGGAATGATGAACTATTTTAGCTATATCACAATATTGACATATTTAATTCAGCGAATTCGTTTGGTTAGTCATGTCATGCAAATATAGTACATGAATATGCACCGGTTAGAAACTTTTTTGATACGACAAATTCTTCGGAGTATCTTCGGTCTTATACACGTTTGCAGCGTAGTCTAATTTGACAGAATTGTGAGCTCTATGAGCTATAGAACTACATTGACATAGTTAATTCAGTGACTTTGTTTGGTTAGCCATAGCATGCGAGCATATAAATATTCATCGGCTAGAACGGTTTTTGATTCGGTACCCGCTGGTGAAACATTTGATAATCTTTACTGGAAGGATCCGTTTACATATGATGTGAAGGCATTCGGAATTACCAACTGGCGACAACATTCTACTGATCAAATTTGCGGAGGGCACTGATTTTAGCATATGCCAACTAGGTAAGTAAGCATATATAGATAAAGTATTCCATACCGTTTACAATCGTTATAAAAGATCTATTTCAAACAGAAACGTTGTTACTTATTGCTAATTGAAATGCACAAATTCTGACCCATTCTAATCCTTTTATTTTTAATCAAAATTAACTGTGCTTGCTGTTTTGAATCATTATGCTTTCATTTCTGTAAATTTTAATACCACGAGAACCGCTAAATCAACCAAATGGGGCAGTGCCAATCTTCATCTCTGGTAATAAAAAATTCTAATGTGAAATATTGAAACAATAAAAACAAAAAAAAAAAATAATAATGCAAATAATATTTGCGATTATTTAATGTTAATTTTTATTTGCGAATTTTACGATTTGATCTTTTTTATTGCTAGGGGCAGCAGCGCATATGTGTAATCTCTGAGTCTGACTTCTCTTCATTTTTTTGTTTTTACTTTACGATATTTTAAGGGAGCAACCGCAAAAGGTCCATAACGAGTTTCGTTTTTTTTTCTCGAGGTTTTATCGAATGATTTTAGGATCAAAGCGGTTTTCAATGAAAACTTGGCGCACCACAAAATAAAAATATTTATTTCTTGGATAAAACAGGTGAGTGGCGTACGCTAAAACGCAAGAAGATTCGCGTATACCGCAAAAAGTCATTGCCTGAGCCGTTTGCCATGCTTTGTGCGCTCCGAGAATGTGGGCGTGCGATATTGCTGCTCCTATCGCCTATAGATCTCTGTTTGAACGTAATAAACAAATTTTCGATAATAATATCGACTCTGTGCTTATACAAAGTACACATAATTTGGATTATTGCTTCACATGTTTTAATGTTAGTTCAATATTAGCAGCGACTCCATTAGCTCTCCATGCGAGTACGCGTATTTGTTAAGAGTCCTAATATTTTTAGTGAATTTCTTCTATAATTTGGCGCATATGTTAACTTAACCAAACTCCTTATACTCGTACGAATATATGCAAATATGTATAAATATGTATACTCACATATTTATATATCTTTTTTACTCGTTTCCATGTAGTTTTGGTGTAGTGGGCATGTACACACGTTGAAGGTGCAGTTTACCTCTTATCAAAGATGAGGCGTAGTTTTATCCTTTGAAGAAGCAAACGACCTCACATTGTTGATATGCATTTGGCATGTGCAATACTGTTGATTGTTACTAACGTGGACGTCCGTCTTCTTGCTGCACTGGCAAATGCTGCGGTAGGTACGACAGCAAATATGAGTACTTAAGTCAGTTTTGATTATGATATCGATTTGCTTAGAAAAAAAAACTTATAATTTTTTAT